CGTCGATGGGATGAAACAGAACTGAATTACTAACAATAACCTCATGCTGTGGAAGAGGTTCTAGCTTCAAGGGCCTGTGTAAGATTCCTGGCGCAGTCGGCTCCGTGATCCATTCTCTGAACTCAGCCAGCGACTCGCGTGGAGCTGCCCTTTGAGCACGTTCCATGACCCTCCTCGCCGAGCCGGCGGAAGTGTCAAGCACGACCAGGCGGACCTCACTCGGGCGCAGCAGCAGCTCCAGCCGCTTCGCCCACGGTGGGTCGCGCCCTTCCCTGAGGATGATGTGGATTGCCTCGGGTCTGGCTCCGCGCAGGCACACGCGAGCCTCCTCGAACTGCCTCACTTGCGTGGGCCCTTCTCGCGACGCCTGCGCCTGTGGGGGCCCCTTCAGCACCGCGTGTAGTGTCGTTCACCACTGACTCCGCTGATCACGCAGTGGTATCTCTCGAAGGTGAAGCGTCTGCCGAAGCTCTCTCACGGACAACCTAGGCTGCTCGAGAGATCCCAGGGGGGGCCTGCTTCCCGTGGCGTTCCAGGATAGCCGACTCAGCAGCGGCGGCCCATGAAGCGCACAGGCCAGACACAGTCGAGCTAGCTTGAGGCATGATCCTGAAGGCTACGGACTGCAGCAGCAAAGGGGAGACGGCATAGACAAGAAAAGCACCTGGGGGAAATCCCACCTGGAGCCTGGCCCTTTCCCAACATCCGGGGGGGGCGTTAAAATCGGCGGCGTCGGGATGAGATACCTCCAGGGCTGGACACTGCTTCTGACTATTGCTGGAACCATTGACATGTGAGGCTTCGTTCGTAGCTGCTACGCTGCTCTGCTCACTGCGACAAGGAGGCGGCTCCTCCGAAGCCGGGGGCGACCCCGCAGGGCCCACGGGCCTGCCGGCGGCCGACGGGGCCAGGGCAGGGGCCGACGGATTGTCCAGAGCGTTAGTTAGCATGCTATTCCTACAAAAATTGAGCTCCTCGGCCCAAGGGTCCTCCTCCTCCTCGGGCCAGGCAGCTAATTCATCATCGTAGCCTACTTTCAGCGGCCCATCGGGAGCTCCCTCACCGCCCGTGATGGGTCGATAATTCCTAATGATTCCTGGAAGCAATCACCAAAAAGAGCATCGTGCAGCACAGGCCGCTTTTCCTGAGAGACAGCCCGCGCGAGTGACCGTTGCGTCCTGGCCAGACTAGACTTAGAGCCTGACGCGGGGTCCTGCTTGGGCATCGGGGCCCGCGGAAGCTTGCGCGGGAGCTCCAACGCCCTGGTGCGCAGACACAGCCCCGAGCTCCGAAAGTGGGCCACAAGCCCCAAGTGAGGACGCCACGGCACTGCGCGAACAGCCTCGGTATGCTTCGCAAAGGGCAATGCAGACCGCGAGCACAACGTATGATCTAGCATGGTATCTGGACCCTCTTTTTGCGCACACGTGCCCTCGACGTCTGCTGCGCGAATGACGGCGTCGAGGCGCTGCGGGAATTCGGAACGACGCAAGACAGAAGGACCCATGTTGAAGTCACCTATCATGACCCATGGCATCTTGGCAGACTTGGCAAGTGCGCCAATGCGCTGACACCGGGTGCGATTCTTAGAAATCATGGCAATAGACGGGTGACTATACAGCACTATGAGCACAATTGAACAACCTGAAAATGCAACGTCACGCGTAGGAACCCATTCAGAGCCGACTGGGTACCTTCCCTGAAATTGCGAGCCGCTGCCCTCACCTCCTGCACTGTGTGTGCTTGAAGGCGGGCTCTGGCCAGAAAAAAGTTCGCCCCCTTCGTTTGAGCGGGCTTGCTCTTTCGAGCTAACTACTTTGCCAGAGCTGCGCGCAGGATTGCGATGCATGCGGAGTCCCAACCTACGACTCTTAGCATCCCACTCTCGTACCTCTGACTGCGCAGAAACGTGAGTCTCGACGAGGGCCCAATATTCGTACGCTCTGGACTCGGATTCAATGAACTTCCACGTCTTGTCCGAGAGGCTGGCGGCATTGCCATTGAACAGCTTGGTGGTGTCCCCACTCTCGCCTGGATCGGCACACTCCTCATGGTGCCTTGGACAGGAACCTAATCACGAACTGGCCGCGCCGCCACCGCCAGGCGCCCGCTCCGCGACCGTGCCCGCCGTGGCCGCCGCGCCCTTGTCGCTGGCCTTGCTCCAGCGCCTCCGCCTGGAACTTGGCCTGCGACATCCGCTCGGCCTCCTGGGCCAGCCTGGCCTCGCGGTCGCCTGGCTCCGCCGCCTTGGCCTCTGGGCCCGCGGCAGGCGCGGCGGCTGCCCCCTCGGCTGCTAGAGCGTCGGCTGGCGGGGGGCGCTGCCCGCCTGCCGTTCTCGCAGCGCCTGAGGGGTCGCCAGGAGCGGCCTGACGCCTCTTCTTGGCGAGCCGCTCCTCGATCTCCTTCCGATGTGTCTGAGCGTTCTGCAACCACGGCTGGATCTCCTCCTCTTTGCCTTGGAGGTGAGCTTTCACGCTCTTGAGTTGGTCACGTAGTCCAGTCAGCGCTGTCTTCTCCGCCTCCGTGGCCTCTAAGTTGTCGACGTTGTCGAAGAATGCCTCGTCCCACTTCACGCTGATCATGGGTTTGTCCTGGCTTTTGTCGTCGGCGGCCGCGTCGTCGACCTTAACTCCCTCAGCCTTGGTGACCGCCTGGGCTGCCAGGAACTTGCTGTCCGCCGCCTCCGCCAAAGCCAGGGCCGCTGTCTTCTCCTTCGCCTCCGCAGCCGTCAGACTGCTGCGTAAGCGAACCACGTTCGCAACCGCTGGCTGGCGCCGATGTTCTGCATCGCGCCATGCTCCGTCAGCCCGCCTGAACTCCTCTGAGGCATTCACCTTCGGCGTGGAGGTGCTGTCCCCCTTGCTGAGCTTGTCCAGCTGCGCCTGGAGGTCGGCCTGGAGCTGCGGGTCCTTGGCAGAGGCGACGGCCTGCTGCAGGAGCTCCTGGACCGAGGTGCCCTTGCCCTTGCCGCCGCCGCCGCGCCTGCCTCCAGGGGAGGCTGCGCGGTCCCGAGACGAGCGGAGGATGCCTGGTGGAAGGGGCTTCCTTACACCCTCCGACTCGCTGCCGCTGTCCGCGTCGAACCACAGGTCGTCATCGCCGCCCTTCTCCTGGTGGTCGCTGAAGCGGACCTTGGCCTTGGGGCGGAACAACTCTACATTGCTACCGCATCCTGCACACTGGAGCTGGCGCCTCTGCAGGATCGTGTTCCTCTCGCATGGCTTTCACTCGCTGCACCGGCTCCACAGAGCCGCCATCGCTGCTGAATCTGCCTCTGTGTTGGTCGATGGCCTTTCAAATCTGACTGTGTGAAAGACCAGAGTCCTTCAAGCGCTGCGTGAAGCCCGGAGGCGAGCTCTGGAGGTGGAAGGGCGCCCGCTTGGGCAACACCACCGCTCGAGCCCAAGTTGCTTGAGAGGAGGAGGAGGAGGAGGAGGAGGAGGAGGAGGAAGAGGAGGAGGAGGAGGAGGAGGGAGGAGGAGGAGGAGGAGGAGGAGAGGAGGAGGAGGAGAGGAGGAGGATGAGGAGGAGGAGGCGGAGGAGGAGGAGGAGGAGAGAGAGAGAGAGAGCGCGCGGTACCGCCGCGGGCGGGGCCCGTCAAGGCCTGCGCGGGGGGGCCGGAGCCCTCAGTGCATGTTGTCCTTGTTTGCCGAGTTGTTTGCCGAGGTCGGAGTGCTGAGTTCTGAACTGGTGGACGTTGGAAGTCGGTAGGGAGAGGTGGAAGTGGAGAGTCGGAAGCCGGATGCTGAAGTGAAGCCGCGGCCGTCACGGAGGTCTGCGTCGGCTGCTCAGGACAGGCCGAGGGTCTATGGGCCTCCTGCGCCTCATGTAAGCGATTTCCGCTGGAAACCTCCATGCCAACTTGCGGCAAACAGGTGCTCTTCAAAAACAGCCGCATCCTGCTCCTACTCCTCCTCCTCATCGTCGTTATCGTCCTCCTCCTCCTCCTGCTCCTCCTCCTCCTCCTCCTCCTCCTCCTCCTCCTCCTCCTCATTGTCCTCCTCCTCCTCCCCTGCTCCTCCTCCTCCCCTCCTCCTCCTCCTCCTCCTCCTCCTCCCCCTCCTCTCCTCCTCCTCCCTCCTCCTCGTCTCCTCCTCCCCCATCCTCCTTCTCCTCCCCCCTCCTCCCTCCTCCTCCTCCTCCTCCTCCTCCTCCTCCTCCTACTCATCACCTCCTCCTCCTCCTCCCCCTCCCCTCCCCCTCCTCCTCCTCCTCCTCCTCCTCCTCCTCCTCCTCCTCTCCTCCTCCTCCGCCCTCCTCCTCATGTGTCCCTCCTCCTCCCCTCCTCCCCTTCTCCTCCTCCTCCTCCTCCTCATTATCCCTCATCCTCCTGCTCGTCCTCCTCCTCGCCTCTCCTCCTCCTCCTCCTCCTCCTCCTCCTCCTCCTCCTCCTCCTCCTCCTCCTCCTCCTCCTCCTCCTCCTCCTCCTGGTAATCATTGTCCTCCTCATTATCAACTTGGGGGACGGGCTGGCACGTCCGCCGTGATATCTACGTGCGCGGCGCATTGTTCCTCCTGCCTCGCAATGGTCGTTGCCGCCACACCGAGGGGCGAGAAGTGTCGTGGCAGTTGCGTTCCCGTGGTGCCCCTTGCACTGATGGCTCCACGTTGGGTCAGTCACTCCGCGGCTCCCGCGGCGACTTGTCGTGTGCCTGCGCTCGCGCGAAGAGCATCCAGGACCGTCCGAATGTAAGAGGTTGCCCCAAACCAACGTCCACGCCAGCACTGCTTCCAGCGGCATGGACTGCTTTGTTAGCAAATTCCAGGATCCCATGCCGCACGCCAGATGGCCCGTCCTTCCCCTCGGAGAAGGGAAGGGACAGGAAGAAACGGTGAGGGGACAAGAGGGATAATGACGGGGGCGCGAGAAGAAGAAGAAGAAGAAAAAGAAGAAACATAATAATAAGAATAATAATAAACATAATAATAAGACGAATAATACTATTAATAAGAAGAAGAAAAAGAAATGGAAAGGGATTGGGCGAGAGTAACCCGATGGATTTTGGTATGCGTATCAACTTTTGCGCCACGTCGTTTCTCCCGGTCGAAGCGGCGCCAATGAGCTACTCACCCTGCAGTGAAAAAATGGTGCGCGTGCGCGGATGCCGAACTCGATGCCGCGGGCAAAAGGCCACGCGTTCGGCACGCTCTGGAACATCGGACAGTCGTAGCAAGGAACATTTGCGATGCGCACGTCGCGCATCGGCTCAACAACGAAAGGCGCAATGCCCACCCACAGAGTCCCCGATCTGCCGCGAGGGCCGCGGGCTGCCGGCTGGCACGCTCAGTGCTGCACCACCTTCTCGCCAAACTTGCGCTGGTACAGTGCAGTCAGCCTCGCCTCGAAAAACTTCTTCGCCTCCATCGGCTGCTTGGCCCACATGTCCTCAGCATGGGAGCAACGGGCCCTCTGGGAATCGGGCCCTGGACCCTGGGGCCTTTCCCCCAGGACGAGATCTTCATCCCGAATCGTTTCCCGGCGCTCGTGGGGCCCGTGGAGGGCCCCGAGAGCCCGACAACAGCGAAAACCCTCAGGACCCGTTGCCTCATGTTTCCCTCGAGACTTAGGTCGGGCATGTCCTCCTACGGGCGGATTTTGGACGAACAATGAAACATGTGCAAAACATGCTCCAACCAGAGTCAAAAATAGTCAAAGAGTCGTTCCCAGACTATTTTCATATTATTTTTGCATATTCCTCCTGTAGAGGGACACGCCCGACTTCAACTCAAGACCCGTTAATTACCCCTATGGCGAATGTCCATCGGCCACGTCTGCAGCATCTCCCGGGCGATCTCCACACACTCGTCGATGCTCGGCGGCGCGCCGCGGGGGGAAACGTGAGGGGGCAGGCCTGCTTGGAGGGCGACGCCGGCCTTCTGAGAATCCCCCTGCGGCTTCAGAGAAGGCTGAAGAAAGCTCCTCCTCCTCGTCCTCGTCCTCCTCCTCCACCTCCTCCTCCTCCGCGTCCCCCTCCTCCTCCTCCTCCTCTCCTCTCTCCTCCTCCTCCCTCCTCCTCCTCCTCCTCCCTCATCCTCCCTCCTCCTCTCCTCCCCTCCTCATCCTCCTCCTCCTCCTCCTCCCCTCCTCCTCTCCTCCTCCCTCCTCTACTCCTCCTCCTCCTCTCCTCCTGCTCCTCCCTCCCCCTCCTCCTCTCCACCTCACCCTCCTCCTCTTCAACCTACCTCCTCCTCCTCTTCTCTCTCCTCCTCCTCCTCCCTCTCCTCCTCCTCGTCCCGCCTCCTCCTCCTCTCCTCCTCTCTCCTCGTCGTCCTGCCCCTCCTCCTACTCCTGTCCCCCTCTCCTCCTCTCCCTCCCTCCTCCTCATCCCTCGTCCTCCCCTCACCTCCTCTCTTCCTCCTCCTCCTCCTCCTCCTCAACCTCGTCGTTAACCCCTCTCTCCTCTCCTTCCTCCTCTCCTCCTCCTCCTCCTCCTCCCCTCCTCCTCTCTCCCCTCCTCCTCCTCCTCCTCCTCTCCTCCTCGTCCTCCTCTCCTCCTCCTCTCCTCCTCCTCACCTCCACCTCTCTCCTCCCTCCCTCCTCTCCTCCTCGTCCTCCTCCTCCTGTCCTCCTCCTCCTCCCTCCTCCTCCTGCTCCTCTTCCTTCCTTCCTCCTCCTCCTCCTCTCTCCTCCTCCTCCTCCTTCTCCTCCTCCTCTCCCCCCCTCCCCTCCTCCTCCCTCCTCCTCCTCTTCCTCCTCCTCCTCCTCCTCATCCTCGTCCTCCTCCTCGTCCTCCTCCTCCTCCTTCTCGTCCTCCTCCTCGTCCTCCTCCTCGTCCTCCTCCTCCACCTCCTCCTCCTCCTCCTCTTCCTCCTCGCAGGGCGAAGGCATCCTGAGACTTCTGCGAAGGCCGGCCCCCCAGCCCTTTGCTCTCTTGTTTTTTTCCACGGCTCGGGTTCCCCAGAGTTTTTGACCACTCTTCCTGGGGACGGGTTTCTCCTCCCAGATCGTTGCTTGACGGTCCTGGGGCCCAGCGCCGGCCCACCAACACCGAAAACGACGACCAAACTCCGCCCTAATTGTTCCCATGCGCCGGGAGTCTGGGCCCTCCTCCCGCCTCCGAGGTGGTTTTCGGGCCATGAGTCGGGCCTCTGGCGGCCGTTCGGGGCGATTCCGCCGCCCCTGCAGCGCTCTTGATGAGGCGCAGCATGGCGCAGCTGATGGAAACCACCCTGGGCCTCGAGCGCTGTCGACCATACTTGGTGGGCCACTTCCCCCCTCGGCGCGCCGCCGAGATGTGCTCCTCGCTGATGACGGTGAGGTCGTCGCTGAGCTCGCGCGCGGTCACGATGCCGCTGGAGCAGAGCAGCGCAAGGGCGTCCCTCCTGCGATGCGGGGATTTATCCATGTCCACCGCCTGGGAAGCGACGTCCTGGTGCCCCAGGCGGGGGGCGGGCATGGGTATATTCTGGCCCCCGGGACCCGAACATGTCAGTATCCACCGCCTGCCCAGGCCCCGGAAAACTGATCCTCCAGGCGGTGGTCATGTAGAAATTCCCGCCTCGCACCTCCTGTCCCGCGCGCGGGTGGCGGCAGAGCGGTGCTTTCGAGCTCGCTGGTCCGGCGTCCCCAGGAGGGGCCGGGCCGGACGACCCAGGCCCCCTGGCTGCTCGGATCACAGCACAACTCACGACGTGAGGTGTTCGGCCATGTTCGGCCTCCGGGGGCCCTCACGGGGCCTCGAAACGTCCAAAAACGACTGGGCTCACGTCCTCCTCTTCCTCCTCCTACTCCTCCTCCTCCTCCTCCTCCTCCTCCTCCTCCTCCTTCTCCTCCTCCTCCTCCTCCTCATCGTCGCCCTAGGGTTGAGACCTCCAGGGCTCACGTGAAAAAATCGTGTCGTCGGGGGGTCTGGGACGAGATGGGTGACTAAACAGGGGGCTCGCGAGTAACCTCACGCAGCTGGTTCTCCCTGCGACTCCCAGCGCCTGAGCTCCATGCGTCGAGAAAGGCACGGCATGGGTGGCGTCGATCTGGGAGTCCCGGGGCCCGAAACCAGGCGGGAACGCCCGTGGCGAAAAAATTGCGACGCCATGATCTCAGAGTTCGCCGGCCCGAGGCTCCTGGGGCCACACGCCTGCTGGTCAGGGGCCCTTGCCGAGAACCACTACTCCCGATACCGATGCCGCTGCCCCATGGAACTCACGCCCGCTGGTCCAGAGAGGAAGAGACGAGGGGGGGGAGGTGGAGGAGGACGAGGTGGAGGAGGACGAGGTGGAGGAGGACGAGGAGGACCAGCATGAACACAGACGAGGTTGCAATACATCCTCCCTCCAAGTTCCCTCTTCATTGGCCCCTACGAAGATGTATTTTTCACTTCGGGAAACGCCCCATTGGAAGTTGTCTGAAAAACCAGAACCGCTCCAAAAGCACCATTCCTGGGACTTCAAGGCTGCGAGTCAACGTTAGATCCTGAATCGTGCAAGAACACTATTCCTGGGACTTCAGCACTGCGAATCAGTGTGACTGCTGCATCCTGACAATCCTGCCTCGTGCCCAAACACCACTTCTGGCACGTCAACCGAGGGAATCCTTGAAACTGCGGTGAACTCTTAAGACGAATGCGCGCGGCGCTCAGGCGAGAGCCGCATTTTGAAAAAGAATCGCCCTCCACCCGTGAAACATTTGGAAACTTTTGCAACAGATGTGCGCGGCACTGAGGCGAGAACCACATGTTGAAAAAGGGACCGCCGTCCATCCGTGAAGCTCTCGCAAGCAAACGTATCAACCGAGTGTGCACGACGCCAGTGCGATGACCACCTATTGAAAAAACGGCCCGCCCTCCGTCCGTGAAATCCTTGCGAACTTTGACAACGCATGCGCGCGGCGCTGAGGCGAGAGCCACACTTCGAAACTGGCCCGCCCTGCATCCATGAGACTCTTGCGGATGTGTTGAACGAATGTGCGCGGCGCTAGGGCGAGACCATATTTCTTGAAAGCCACCCGCCCTCCATCCGTGAAGCTCTTACGTACACACTTCTTTAAACGAGTGTGCGCGGCGCTAGGGCGAGCACCAATTTTTGAAAACCGCCCACCCTCCATCCGTGAAGGTCTTGCAACTTCCATTGTTGAGGACCATAAATGGTGAGGAAGTCTCAGGCAAAACGCCCAGCCCGCCCTACCGACACGGCTCGGGGTGCGACAGGGAGAAGCTAGTGATAAGGAAAGGACTGGAGGAGGCGCGGGATGATGATGATGATGATGATGATGATGATGATGATGATGATGATGATGATGATGATGATGATGATGATGATGCTGCTGATGCTGATGATGCTGCTGCTGCTGCTGCTGATGATGATGATGATGATGATGATGATGATATGATGAGGATGAGGATGAGGATGAGGATGATGATGATGATGAGGATGATGATGATGATGATGATGATGAGTGATGATGATGATGATGATGATGATGATGATGGATGATGAGGAGGAGGAGGAGGAGGAGGGAGGAGGAGAGGACGACGACGAAGTGGAGGAAGAGGAGAAGGAGGAGAGGAGGAAGGAGAGAGGAGGAGAGGAGGGGGAGGGGGAGAGGAGGGAGAGGAGGAGGAGGGAGGAGGAGGAGGAGGAGGGGAGCAGGAGGAGGAGGAGGAGGAGGAGGAGGCGGCGGAGGAGGCGCCGGGCTCCTGGGCCCGGACGCCCGCCGGTAGGCGGAGGCCCAGGAGCCCTTGCCGAGCACCAGCACGTCCGAGCCCGTCGCGGGCTCCGCGAAGGGCTCGCCGTCGTCGGGCGGGCTCCGCGCGGCGAGCGGCGGCGAGACGGGGCGGTCGCCGCCCTGGAACCTCTCGGAGGTGGGAGGAGGACGCAATGGTATGGGGAATATCCTCCTCCTCCCTCCTCCTCCTCCTTCCTCCTCCTCCTCCTCCTCCTCCTCCTTGCCCCTTTTCCTCCTCCTCCTCCTCCTCCTGCTCCTCCTCCTGCTCCTCCTCTTCGTCTCTCCCCATCCTGTCCTGCCTCCTACGCCTCCGCATCTTCCGCCGCCTCCTCTTCTTCGGCAAGTCATGAGGGCCCGCCGCCACCTCTTCCTCCTCCTCCTCCTCCTCCCCCCCCTCCTCCTCCTCCTCCTCCTTCTCCGGGCACCTGCACTGGTCCTGCCGCCCCCGATGACGGGCCGGCCAGGACCAGTGCAGGTGCCCAGCCCGTGCCTTCCCCGATCCTGCCCCGTGCTCCCAGGCATCCGACGCCTTGAGTTTCTGACTACGGGGCCCCGATGGGGTCTAGGGTTCGGGGATATTTCGCGATGTTGCAGTCTTGTTCGCAACGTCGGATCGCAGGTTTTCCGCAGGTCCGGGAGGAGGAGGAGGAGGAGGAGGAGGAGGAGGAGGAGGAGGAGGAGCGCGTATCCAAGAAATCCGCGCGGAGTGCCAACAGCTCATGTTTATGGCGTTGTTGTTTCTTCTTCTTCTTCTGCCCTCAGCGTGTACCCTGCGTGGTTCTCAGCGTAAGTCGGAGGGCTGTGTCAACCGCGCTCCGCGCGCCTGGGAGGGGGGGCCCAGCGCAGATCCAAGAAGCCCGTGCGGAGCGCCGAAAGTTTATGTATATTTTGCGTCTATCGGAGGGCTGTGTCGCCCGACCCGGCTTGGCGTGTGCGCCCCCCTGCGCTGACCAGCGTATCGACGGCTTCGGCTTCGCGGGGCCCGAAGTCACACACAGTGAAAACCCATGCCAAGAAACACCCTGCTTGCCTGCAGGGTGCCCTGGGTTTCTTGGGTTTCGATGGTTTTGCTATGGAGTACGTGGTGCTCCCACACCAAACATCTGTGGACGTCCTGGGGTCTCAGGGTTGGGTATCGTGGGGAAGGTTTCCTGTGGTCGAGCTCCTGCACGCTAAGATGAGGACCATGGCCGTAAGTGTGCTTGTGGGTGTCGACCACGCGGGCGTCGTCCGAAGCGTGGCGTCCGAGCCCGCGGCCCGCCCAGGAGCGAAGCCTGAGAGAGCGGGCGGCCCTCTCGGCAGGCGGCGGGGCTTCTCGGAGCGCCCTCCCCGCCCGAAGCCTTCTGTCGATGGACCGCCCTCCACCACCACTGCCATAGGTAGGACGCGGGAGAAGGGAGGATGGGCAGGTCCTCCTCCTCCTCTTCCGGCCTGTGACCCTTGTCGGCCTCTGGGGGCCTCCTCTGGTCACCGGGCTTCGGCCGGGTTAACGTCACAACGTTTCGCTTTCGCACTCCAGGTGGTGCATCCCTGCCGCTGCACGCTCCCGGGGTGCCATGATGCAGCTTCGCTGCCAACTACCTTGTGATACGCAATCTGTGTATTTCGTATCTTCCGGGTCCAGGGGCCGACCCCCCCGAGGCGTGCACATCTGTCCTCGTCTCTGCCTCTCTCTGTCTCTCTCGTCCTCCTGGTTCTCTCCTCCTCCTCCTCCTCCGCCTCTCTCTCTCTCTCTCTCCCTCTCTCCCTCTCTCTCTTCTCTCCCTCTCTCTCTCTCTCTCTGCCTCTGCTTTTTGAACGGGGCTCCTCTGGAACATAGACGGAGGACAGACGTTGTTTTTAAGTCCCCTTTTCAAGTAAGGACGCTGCTGCCGGACATCCGCTTCGACTTTCTGCCCTCTTCCCCCACCCCCAAACCCGGTGAGGACCATCATAGGCTTCACCAGTGAGGACCATCATAGGCCTCACACCCCCTGCGGCTGCCATCATAGGGGCCGCTGGGGTCGCCCTCTCCCACCAATACACCAGTACACCAATACTTCACGGCGTCAATAGCCAATGGAGGGGGCCGAGGACCTCCCTGCAGCCCCTCGGCCAACGAAGACGGCTGCAGGGAGGGGTCCAAACGTACCTCCACCTTCATGCACGAGTCAACCAATACACCAGTAAACCAACTCTTCATATTCCTCCTCCTCCTCCTCGTCCTCCTCCTCCTCCTCTTCCTCCTCCTCCTCCTCCTCAGAACGCCGACGCCGTGATTTTGTCACAACGTGGACTTCCGAAGGTCTATGCCACTTTCTCCAAAGAGTGGCTTTCCACCGCTCCTGAGAAGACTCCGGGAGGCCTCTCGCGGCAACTTGAAACCCAATCTGTTTCGGACTCACGTCGGAACGTCGGATCCACGCCGGACTTCCGTCGGAACAGCGCCGCGCGAACGTCGTCGGGTATCTGACGGGGCGGACGTGTGGACGAGATAGTATAGTTCTTGCGCGCCGCGCGGGGCCTGCAGGGTTTCTCTCATAGAAAACGTCGTCGGCGGCAGGGCGAGTTTTCAAAAAGTTACCGCACGTGCTTCGAGAAGATTTCGAGATCCAGGGCGCTTTCCATCCTCGTCGAGAGCGTTCCGGGGGTGCCAGCATCGTCCCTAACGGCCGCCGGAGGTCCGGCTTCTGGCCCGAAAGCCCCCGCCCTGGAACCTCGGAGGCGGGAGGGCGGAGGGGAGAGGGCCACCCTGAGACCCTGTTTGGACGCCCGAGCTATCTGGGGTAACTCGGGTCCGGGGTAACTCGGGCTTGGGTTCCCGAAAAAGGAACCCGAGTTAGCCCTGACCCGAATTACCCCTGATGATTCGGGGCTCTGGACGCCCGAAATATCTGGGGTAACTCGGGTCCGGGATAACTCGGGTCCGGAATCCCGAAAACGAACCCGAGTGAGCTCTGAACCGAGTCACCCCTGATAACTCGGGGCTCTGACCCTGTCGTCGCGATGGGCCTGCCACGGGCGGTTCTGCCCTCTCTCGCGCCCCGGGGCCCTCGCGGATCGATGCGGCTCGAAACATGCAGCAGACGCAGGTTTCTACGATGGCCCCATGCATCCCGAAGAGGACCTCCTGGAGACGCTGTGCATATCGAGCGCCAGCGGTGCTGGTGCTTACAATGCGCCCCCCCCTGACGTCTGGACCCCTTTCCCAAGCAGGGTTTGCACTCCTGCTCGTTTCTGTTGGCGGCCCGCTGGCGCCGCGAAGGCAGCGGGAAACCAACAACGGCAGCCGCCGTTTTTGCTCACGACGCGAGGATGTCAGGAGGAGAGGAGGAGGAGGAGGAGGAGGAGGAGGAGGAGGAGGGAGGGAGGAGGAGGAGGAGGAGAGAGGAGGGGGAGGAGGGAGGAGGAGGGGAGGAGGGGGAGAGGAGGGAGGGGAGGAGGATGATGATGATGATGATTGAGAGAGGAGGAGAGAGGAGAGGGAGGAGGGCAGAGGGGGAGGGGGAGGAGGACGAGGAGGAGAGAAGAAGAGGAGGAGGTAGAGGAGGAGTAGGAGGAGGAGGAGGAGGAGGAGAGGAGGAGGAGGGGGTGGAGGAGGAGGAGGATGTCAGGGGAGACTCTTTGGAAATCAGTGTGGCACACATTTCGCGGGGGAGCACCACTTCTGCTGACGCCAGGCTGAATGCTCGAGGCCTCCTGGGCGCCCGACCCGCCCCCAGTGCACGGTTTCCCCCCAGGGCCGTAGGCGACCTGAGGAGGAGGAGGAGGAGGAGGAGGAGGAGGAGGAGGTGGAGGAGGTGGAGGTGGAGGTGGTGGCGAAGGGTGGAGGAGGAGGAGGAAGAGGAGGAGGAGGAGGAGGAGGGAGGAGAGGAGGAGGAGGGAGAGAAGGAGGAGAGAGGAGGAGAAGATGGGAGGAGGAGGAGATAGGAGGAGGAGGAGATGGAGGAGGAGGCGGCGGAGGCGGCGGAGGACGGGTCGCCTGAGCCCTTCGGAGAAACCCTCCAGCCCCCAATGCCCTCCGAGGCCCTCTGAGGCTTCCAGCTGCCCGAGGGGCTACCAATGCGTCCAGCATGGCCTACGGTCAGGAACGTTTGCTTGGCGTTTCGCGGCGGCGGCCCCGCCGACACGCCATGCCTTGCTGGGCGACAGCGTGCCGCTCAGCTCTGGCGGGGCGGGCCGGGAAAGGCTCGGGACGTTGACGCTCGGACATGGGGGAAGTGCCCAGCGTGTCGCGCCGAAGCGCGGTGGGCCAGAACGGGCGGCGCGACACGCTGAGCCAAAGTTGCCAACCGCAACATGCCCTCACGAGCCGTCCAGAAGCCCCCTCAAAAAGCCCAAGACGCGTCGCCAAAGGGGTCCCGAAACGTTTCCACGACACCTAAAGAAAAAAACAAAAAGGACCCCCCAGACACTTCAAGCATGGTGTTCTTAAGGATGTTCGGTTTCTCGCAACTCTCAGCATACTACGGATCCAAGAATACCTCGGGGGGGCCAAAGAGCCCACAGTGGGCTCATGATATTCCCAAGAAGCCCCCCAGACAGCTTCGAACCGCCCCAGGAAGGGCCCAAGACGGCTCAAGAGAGCCCCGAGGCAGTCCCAGAGGGTCACAAGATGGCCCAATCCAATGGGCCCCGCGAGACCCCCAAGACAGCCACCAGACACTCCCCAAACGGCCGACAGAGAACCAAGAAAGCCACGAGACGGCACAAGAGGGCTCCAAGACCGGCCAAGGGGGTCCCAAGATGGCCCCCAAAGGAACCTGGGAGATCCCCAGGAAGGCCTTGGTGAGACCCCTGGAGAGGCCCTCGAGGAATACATACGAGAGGTGTAGCATGTTGCAGCCTTCTGGGCGCCCGCCCATTGTAATGTACAAGAGTGACAGGTGACGAGGAGATCAGCGTAGGAGACGAAGGCGACGAAGACGAGGGAAGACACACCAACATGACGCGGAAGAGCCTGTCACGTGTTGCAGCTCTCCCCAGCTAGGGAGGAGAAATGTCACACGCGACGGCCCTCTGCGCGGCTCTCGAAGGGTCGCCACCCAGAGCGTTTCGCTGTCACGGTGGCGGGACTTGCCGCGGGCAGCTGGACGCGCAGCGGCTGCACCTGTTCCAACTCGCGTTCTCCTTCTAGCGCCTCGCAACTTTGTCCTGAAGCCTCTGACAGCTACGCGCACGATTGGAGAGCGATCTCCTCTCGAGCTCATTGTGCTCTGTGACGCTATGCAGCAGCGCGCGGGCACATATTCGACGTCGGCGCTGCTCGCAGGCGAGAGCGGGGACCACGAGGGTTCGGGGCCCAACTGGGACCTCAGATCTGGCGGATATCGGCGTGTCCCCCGTTTCCCCGCATCGCCGACCGCAGCGCTTCAACTTGATGTAACGCGACCGACCTTCCGGCCATCGCCGAAAATAAGGTTGATAGGATCGCTGGTATGAACTGAAGAACGCATAGCACGTGGGCTCTGATTCTGCAGATCTATGGGACCATCAGCTTCGGCGCGGCGCGCAGAAGTCCGTGGATTGAACTACGCGGGGGGGGGGGACTTGGGACACGAGGGCACAATCAGTGGTGGCATGCTGGGCTTATCCTGGTTCCCTCCGTTTTCGCCTCCACCTCCTCTCTTCTCCTCCAACTCCCCTCCTCCTCCACAGTCTCCTCCTCCTTTCTTTTCCATGTTAATAACTTCTCCCCGTCGCACCCCGAGGCCGTTTTTTCAGGGCGGGTCAGGCGTCTCGCCTGACACGTCCTCACCATGTATGACCTTGAAGCTTAAGCATTGGCAACAGCCTCACAGATGGAGGGCGGGGCGTTTTGAAAATAAGTCTCTCGTCGCCTTAGCGCCGCGCACATTCGTTTTAAAACAGCTGTAAGAGCTTCACGGATAGAGGGCAGGTGGTTTTCAAAAAGTGGCTCTCGCCTTAGCGCCGCGCACATTCGTTGTCAACATTTGCGCGAGCTTCACGGATTGAGGGCGGGTAGTTTTCGAAATGTGGCTCTCGCCTTAGCGCCGCGCACATTCTTTGTCAAGCTCTGCGCCAGCTTAACCGATTGAGGGCGGTTCCTTTACAAAATGCGGCTCTCGCCTTAGCGCCGCGCACATTTCTTTTCAACACATTGCAAGAGTCTCACGGGTTCCCATGGCCAACGGTCCAGACATGGTGTTCTGGAGAGATTCAAGATTATGAGGGTGCAACAGTTAGGTTGATTGGCGGTGTGAAATCCCCGGCACGGCGTTCTGGCACGATTCCGGATCGCCAAGACGCAGCAGTCACGTTCAACTGTGGCGTTGGAGTCCCGAGAATAATATGTTGGCATGCTTCAGGGTCTTCAAGCAGTTGTCTTCCAACGAAGCAGTTCCCTCAGTGGACATGAACCTTTGTAGGAGCCTATGAGGAGGGAGCTTGGAGGGAGGGTTTATTCCAACACCGTTGGGGACTCTTGGGTTTACACTGGCGCTCCTGCTCCTCCTCCTCGTCTCCTCCCTCCTTCCCTCATCCCTCGACATGCTTCCTCGTCCTCGTCGTCACCGTCGTCGTCCTTCTCCTCGTCCTCGTCCTCATTCTCGTCGTCGGCGTCGTCGTCGTCCTCCCCCTCTTCCACCCGCTCCTCTTCCTCCTCCTCCCCCTCCTTCTCCTCCTCCTCCTTCTCCTCCCCGATCCATTTTTTTCCTCGTCCTCGTGCTCGCCTCTCGTCGTTCGTCCGGGTCCTGGTCCTGGTTCTCGCCCTCCCCCCCCCACCCCGCCCACCTCCTCGACATCCCCCCGTTTTCCGCCCCCGCCAGCTTATCTTCCCCAACCCCTCACTCTTGTCCACGTCGTCTTCCTCCCTCCTTCCCTCTCCTCCACAAACTTCCAATTCCCGTCCACGTCGTCTTCCTCCTCCTTCACCACCTCCTCCTCCTCCTTCTCCTCCTCCGTCTTCTCCTCCTCCTCCTCCTCCTCCTCCTCCCCCTCCTCCTCCTCCTGCTCCGCTCCTGCTTCATCCTCCTCCTCCACTCCTCCTCCTCCTCCTCCTCGCTCTCCTCCTCCTCTCCTCCTCTCCTCCTCCTCCTTGTCTTCCTCCTCCTCCTCCTCCTCCTCCTCCTCCTCCCTCCTCCTCCCGCCGCCTCCTCCCCGTTCCCTCTCATCCCCCTCATCCATCCATCCTCCCTCCCCCTCCCTCCCTCCCTCCCCCCCCCTCCCTCTCCCTCCTCCCTCCCTCCCTCCCTCCCTCCCCTCCTCCTCCTCAGCCTCCGCCGCCTCCTCCTCTTCCTCCTCCTCCTTCTCCTCCTCCTCATCCTCCTCCTCCCTCGTCCCTCATCCTCCTCATCCCTTTTCCCTTCTTGTCCTCCTCCTCCTCCTCCTCCTCCTCCTCCTCCTCCTCCTCCTCTTCCATCTCTTCCTCCTCCTCCTCCTCCTCCTCCTCCTCCTCCTCCTCCTCCTCTTCACCCCGCCCCAGAACCTCGCGGGCGCCCCAGCGAGATCCGCCGAGGACGTCAGCAGGAACCCGCCGCCGCCGCTGGCGCTGGCCGCCTGCGAATGCACGGGGCCCCCGGCGGGCGGCGGCGCGCCGCTCGCGCGGCTGCCCCGGTCCGGCGTCCTGGGCAGCAGCCGATAGTCAGGGTGGCACGCTGATGATGATGATGATGGTGATGATGATGATGATGATGATGATGATGATGATGATGCTGGGGCTGCGGATGATGATGATGATGATGATGATGCTGCTGATGATGATGATGGTGATGATAATGATGATGGTGATGATGATGGTGATGATGATGATGGTGATGATGAAGATGAACATGCGATGAGGATGAGGATGAGAATGAGGAGGATCAGGAGTAGGATGAGGAGGAGGAGGATGCTGCTGCTCATGATGCTGATGCTGCTGCTGATGATGCCGATGCTGCTGATGATGCTGATGCTGAGGCTGATGATAATGATGATGGTGGTAATGGTGAGGATGCTGATAATGGTGGTGGTGGTGATGATGATGATGGTGGCGATGATGTGCGATAATGAAGATCCTTCGTAGACATGTAAAAAGGCATATGTTTCGCGGGTCCCTTGGCTTCCCAAGGTGCCCCAAGGCTTGTGTGGCCCTTGATGGGGGCACATTTGCGTGGGTTACTTACTTGATGCACCTGCACTGCATTGATGATGATGATGATGTTGATGATGATGCTGATGCGGATTATGATGATGATGATGATGATGATGATGATGATGACGATGACGATGACGATGATGATGATGATGATGATGATGATGAGGGCGATGATGCTAATGATGAAAATTATGTTGCTGGTGATGATGCTGATGCTGATGCTGATGCTGATGATGGTGATGATGATGCTGATGTGATGGTGGTGTTGATGATGATGGTGACGATGATGACGTTGACGCCAATGCTGATGATGATGCTGATGCTAGTGCTGCTCATGATGATGATGCTGTTGATGATGATGATGATGATGAACGTGATAATGAGGATAATGAGGTTGATGATGATGATGATGATGATGATGATGATAATGATGATGATCAGAACGACGATGATGATGTTGATGATAATGATGATGGTGATGATGGTGATGATGAAGCTTACGATGAAGATGATGAGGATGATGAGGAGGACGAGGCGGATGAGGAGGATGAGGATGCTGATGATGATGCTTCTGATGATGCTGATGCTGATGCTGATGCTGATGATGATGCTGATGATGATGGTGGTGATGATGATAATGGTAGTGGCAATGATGTGCGATTGTGGAAACCTCTCCTATACGTACAATGTGCGAGGATGCTTTGCTGATCCCTTGGCTTTCGCACGTGCCCCAAGGCTTCTGCAGTTCCGTGGGTTACGTCTTTGATGCACCTGCTGCTTAGATGGTGGTGGTGATGATGATGATGCTGATGATGATGATTGCGATGCGAATGATGCGGATGCGGATAATGGTGATGATGCTGATTATGTGATGGTGATGATGATGACGGTGATGACGACTTTGATGATTCTGATGATAAGGATGATGATAATAATGGTAATAATAATAATGAAGATGATGCTGATGCTGGTGCTGATGCTTACGCTACTGCTGATGATGATGACTATGAGAATGATGACAACGTTGATGATGAACATCATGATGCTGATGATGATGATGATGGTCGTGGTGGTGATGATGATAATGATATGATGACGAATGTGCTGATCATAACGGCGATGCTGATACCAATATTGATGATGACGATGATGAAGTTGGTGATGATGATGCGGATGGTGAAAATGATGCTGACGATTCTGATTGTGGTGATGATGGTGATGATGATGATGATGATGATGATTGTTATGATGATGATGCTGATTTGCGTGATGTGATGATGATGATGACGATCGTGGTGACATTGATTATGATGATGACGATGGTGACGGTGATGACGATGTTGATGCTGCTGATGCTGATGCTTATGCTGGTGCTCGTACTGGTGGTGCTGCTGCTGATGATGATGATGGTGATAATGATAATGATGATGATGATGGTGATGATGATGCTGCTGATGCTGCTGCTGATGATGATGATAATGATGATGATGATGGTTAGCCCCCTCGAACGCTACACGTTGGTCTGGCGACGCAGCAGTAGACGTTATAGGTAATAAAACATGCACTGTCCGCAGCTCCAACGGCCCGCGCCTGGGACCACCGCCAGGAGCAGGTCTGCCAGCCGCGCCACCAGCGCGGCTGGCAATGATGATGCTGCTGCTGCTGATGATGTTGATGATGATGATGATGATGATGAAGATGAAGATGAAGATGAAGATGAAGATGATGATGCTGATGCTGATGCTGATGCTGATGATGATGATGATGATGATGATAATGATAATGATGATGATGATGATGACGATGATGATGATGATGATGATGATGATGATGATGGTGATGGTGATGGTGATGGTGATGATGATGGTGCGCGTCACTTAGGCAGGCAATACACACCGCGAAAGCCTTGGATCAGGGCTCTAACGCGCTCCATGCCTGCGCAGGATGGTGATGGCGGCGACGAAGACGGCGACGGCGGTAGTCATCTCGAGCTGGCGACAGATCGGGCGATGCCACAAACCTCCCTGCCAGCGACTGCGCCACCAATACGGAAGCATCGTGGCTACCATGCCGGGCGCAATCCTTTGGAGCCGCTTGCGCCGCGCTGGAGGGGCGCCGCTGCCCTCGCGGCGCGCAGCCGGCTTCCACTCCCAAGCGAGGCGCGCGGGCGAGCCTCCGCCCACGTCGTGCCTCGCAGGCGCGCTGCTGCACGGGCCAGCGCCGAGCCCGCCCGCGAAGCAGAAGGAACCAACCGCGCGACCGGGGCGCGCTGCAGCACAGACTATTTTTTAAACTATTTTGGAATGTTCCTCCTGTGGAGGGACGTGCCCGACATTTAAAGTCCAAGGCAAGAGCAGCAGAGGAGAGCCAGTGGAAACACTGGCGGCTCTCCCGCCCGGCCCACCTCCGCGCAGAGCCGGTCCCAGCAAGAGGACTCCAAATAGACGAGCGCGTTCCACTACTCGCAAGTGACTACTCGCAAATGGCCTGGATACGCAGCGGGGGATCTCGGATAAATCACATCAAAGCCGACATCTGTTTTTCGGACGTTTGCGAGTAGGCACTCTGCGAGTAGTGGAACGCGCTCGGTGACCAAAGGGGGGCCCACAGAGGAGAGAAACGCCTGGGGAGGGCCTCCGCCGCCTGGACTGGCCCTCCTCCAAAGGCAGCGCCGCCCCTCGGTCTTCGGGTCGTAGCTCGGCTCTTTGGCGGCCATTCGGGACGATCTGGGCACCCCTGTCGGGGGCGCGCAAACATGGATCGGGGGAGGTGCCCTCTCCCAAATGCGGCCGGTGCCGCCTCGTGCAGCGGCGGAAATCTGCGACTTCCCCTATGGAAGCGGGACCCGTCGCTAACCCACGCCCCCCTACTCCATGTTTGCGATCGCTTGAACTTGACTGGCCCTGGAAGTGACAACTCGAGGGGCCCTATTGGCGCCCTCTTGGGAATTCTCGGGGCGCGCCCCCCCCGAAGCCCTCCCGAAGCCCTGAGGGGGCCTTCCACGGCCCCCAAAAACCTCTGGAGGTGGGGCCCAAGAGCCAAGAACGCCCTCGGAGGGCTTCGAGAGTACATGGGAACTGTCGCTCTTCAGGAATTCAAAATGTGTCTACAATGTAGGAAACATGTCCTAAACATGTTCGTGATTAAACCATGTTTAACAATGTTTTAGACATATGGCAACTAGTTGGCAACATTCTTCCTCTCCATTGATCGTCCTCCACAAGGCCAGTGGCACTGCTTGCCCCAGCGCCCCCCCCCACCCCCTGGGCCTCCACAGCTGACGGGGAGCATCCTCCGTCGTGGCCACGGGGCGCCGCGCCACGGGCGTCCCCGACCAGCCCCGGGGGACAGGCAGGAAGGGAGGAGCAGCGCGGCATTTGTTTTTCCCAGGGGGTGGAGCGCAGCGTGGTTTAGTTGAGGAGGAAAGCAGCAGCAGCAGCAGCAGCAGCAGCAGCAGCAGCAGCAGCAGCAGCAGCAGCAGCAGCAGCAGCAGCAGCAGCAGCGCAGCCTCCTCCTCCTCCTCCTCCTCCTCCTCCTCCTCCTCCTCCTCATCGTGGCTGGGATCAGGAGGCGGCAGGAGGTGAGGCAGGAGGTGAGGAGTCACGCCATTAGAGGCCTCCCAGATGTGGTCGGGGTGGATGGGGTCGGAGGATCGCGCCGCATCGTCGATACATCGGCGATGCATCGGCGATGCATCGGTGCTGCACTGGCGATGCATCGTCGACGTGGGCGATGCATCGGCGACGTCGACGTGAAGCAAATCGGGATCCGCATCGAGCCGCATCGGCGATGCATCGGCGATGCGGCGCGACCCTCCGACCCCGTCTGCTCGGACCCCATCTAGGAGGCCCAGAACCATCCAGGCTGAGGGGACAGGCGGCGCCACGAGGAGCCTCCTGGCCCGCACCACCAGGACCAGAGTGCGCGGTCGAGTTGCCGGCAGGCCGGCGGCACCTGGGGGCCACGGCGCCCCCTGGGCCTCCACAGGTGAGCTCTCTCGCCGACCATGCGCCCGGCCTGGGCGGGTCGGCGGCAGCGGCGGGCAACCAACCGCGCGGGCAGGCGCCGCCGCCGCGCTGCGCCACGCTTCCGAGGGGGCGGGAGCCAGAGGGCCACGTGCGCCACGGCCCCAGGGCGCACGTGGGCCTGGCCTCCGGGCGCCAGGACCAAGCCAACATCGGCCAGCATCGGATCGGAAACTCAGGTCGAGTCGGCATGCGAGGTCGGAGCGTGCCACACATCGGCACGGGGTCGGGATCGGATCGGGTCGGCCTGGCCGCAGCCGATACCGAATCGGATCGATCGGACCGAAATAGACCCGTGTATAAGGAGACGGCGGAGGGGCCGCTCCTATACGGGATCCGTTGGTAGAGGCGAGGAGCAGGACTCCTTTTTCCAGGGCACCGCGCGGTGAGCAGCGTGACGAGAGACGCAGGCCCGGGGGCGCCGCGACCGGGTGCGCCAGGCCTCCGTGTGCCCAGAGCGCCACGCGCCAAGCGCGCCACGGGCAGGGCGGCGCCACGACCACAGGTCGCCTCCGCCGCCGTCGTGGCCACGGGGCGCCGCGCCGCGGGCATCCCTGGCCAGGGCCAGGGCCGGGGAACACTGCAGCAGGTGGTGAGGTTCTGCCTCCTCCTCCTCCTCCTGCTCCCCCTCCTCCTCCTCCTCCTCTTCCTCCTCCTCCTCCTCCTCCTCCTCCTCCTAATCCCGCTCCTCCTGCTCCCTCCTTCATTCCTTTTCCTTATAAAGAAGTTCTCCCTGTCGCACTCGAGGCCAGTTTTTAGGGAGAGCCGGGCGTTTCGCCTGAGACTTCATCACCACTCATGACTATGAAGCTTGAAAAATGGCAGCGGATTCACACATGGAGGGCGGGTGGTTTTCAAAATGTGGCTCTCGCGTCAGCGCCGCGCACGTTCTTTTTAAACATTTGCAAGAACTTCACGGATTGAGGGCAGTTGGTTTTCAAAATGTGGCTCTCGCGTCAGCGCCGCGCACGCTCTTCTTAAACATTTGCAAGAGTTTCACGGATTGAAGGCGGGTGGCTTTCAAAATGATGCTCTCACCTTGGCGCCGCGCACATTCGATTGAAGCATTTGCAAGAGTTTCACGGGTTGTGGGCGGGTGGTTTTCAAAATGTGGCTCTCGCCTCAGCGCCGCGCATATTCGTTTTAAACATGTGCAAAAGTTTCACGGGTTGAGGGCGGCTCCTTTTCAAAATGTGGCTCTCGCCTTAGTGCCGCGCGCATTCATTAAAACATTAAAGAGTTTCACGGATTCCCATGGTCAACGTACCAGAAATAGTGTTTTGGAAGGATTGTGCGGGTGCGACAGTTATGTTGCTTCGCGGTGTTGAAGTCCCAAGAATGGTGTTCTGGCACGGTTCCAGATCGTCAACACGCAGCAGTCAGGTTGATCCGCTGCGTTGAAATCCCGAAAACAATGTTTTGGCATGCTTCAGGGTCTTCAAGGGTGTCTTCCAACGAGGCAGTTCCCTTCATGGAAATGAGCCGTTGTAGGGGGCTGCGGAGAGGGAGCTTGGAGGGAGGGTTAATTCCAACATCGTTGATGACTCTTTGGATTACACTGGACCTCCTCCTCCTCCTCCTCCTCCTCCTCCTCCTCCTCCTGCTGCTCCTCCTGCTCCAGGCTAAAAATAAAAGCGAGGCCACGAGGAGCATCCTGGCCTGCACCACAACGACCAGTAGGCGCGCCACGAGGACATCAGGCCCCTCGGAATGAACACTGGCAGCGGCATCCACGGCAGCTGGCCCCCGAATGGTTGCGCCTCCGCCGACGAAGCTGAATCTCCTGAGGCATTCCGATCGCCAGCCAAGTCCACCAGACGCAAACCGGCGGCGAAGCCCTCTGCAAAGCGGGCTGATCTACGCGCGGCAGCTCTATCTCCGCCAGGCGCCCACCAGCAGCAGAGGACGGCACGCATCCTCCCAGGCGTCGGGGCATGCCACAGCGCTACACCGTAAGCATGACGCTTCTGGTGCGAAGGGCGCACGATGCCGAAGCCACTGCGCGGAGGGCGGCCCATTAGCGTCACGCAGGAGGAAGTGCGCATGCCCAGCACGCTTGCGATGAGGCTTTGTGGCCACGGCGCTAACCAGGGGTGCAAGCTCGGGCCGAATTCCCGACAGCAGAAAACAATCCACGATGGCGATGGTAACGATGACGATCATGCCAACGCGTGGACCCCTCGAAGTCCACTCGTCTACAGAATGCGGAGCCCTATGTGTGTGTGTGTGCGGAACCTGCACGTGGAAGCCTCGGCTACGCGCGCCGTGTGCGTGTGGAGAGCCCAAACCCACGGCCGAGCTCACGCCCCAGCCCACGTGCTGGCCCACGCGCCAACCGACCCAACGACACGCGTCCAAACCCACATCCACACGCTGTGACAAGGCGCGCGGCGGAGCCCACCGAGGCGATGTCACTACCCCCCCCTCCCACCAGGCCAGCTCCCGCAAAAAAGGACCCCGGGAGTGCACAAACACCGCCCCCAGGGGACGTGCGGCCCCCCCGACGGCAGCAGCGTACGGCGAGAGCGCGACGCCGACACCGAGGGCCACCGGGACGGCGACGAGGGCCGATGATGCCGACGGCGAGGACGACGTGGAAGCTGGACCTGCGAGGACGATGCGAGGACGATGCCGGCGGCGAGGGCGACGCGAGGACGATGCCGACGGCGAGGGCAAGGCCCACCCGGGCCCGGAAGCTGCGGAGGCCTGCGGGAGCGGGCCGACGGCGACGCCGCCGCCCTGGCCCCCGCCGATGTGCTCTTGCCCGATGCGCGGCCCCCGACCCAAAACCCACCCCGACGCCGCGATGTGTTCACAACCTCGGCCCTCCGCAGAGGCCTGGGCCCCTTCTCCCCGGGACCGGTTGCTCGCCCCGGGCCGCTCTTGGACGGCCCCGCGAGGCCCGGGGAGGGCCCCATCGGAGGCCGAAGAGATGGACCCAGAGATCCGATGTCGTGATTTTTACCTAACAGCTTTTGCTGATAGGTTTCTAGTGGTGTCAAAAGAGAGCAGCAGATGACTCCACAGGGGGGTCGGGGCGGGACCCGGGGAGCTGTGTCCGAACTCGTGTCCGAATGCGTTTTTCTCAAACAGTCACACACTTTGTGCTCTTCGACCTCCCAGAACTCCATTCCCGGGCCACATTCTGAATGCCCAGAGCCAACTGTAAGCCACTTCGTGCTCTTCGACTTCCCAGAACTCCATTCCCGGGCCACATTTTGAATGCCCGGAGCCAACTGTAAGCCACTTCGTGCTCTTCGACTTCCCAGAAATCCATTCCCGGGCCACATTTTGAATGCCCGGAGCCAACTGTAGGCCACTTCGTGCTCTTCGATTCCCAGAACTCCATTCCCGGGCCACATTTTGGATGCCCGGAGCCAACTGTAGGCCACTTCGTGCTCTTCGACTTCCCAGAACTCCATTCCCGGGCCACATTTTGAATGCCCAGAGCCAACTGTAGGCCACTTCGTGCTCTTCCACTTCCCAGAACTCCATTCCTGGGCATGATTTTGAATGCCCGGAGCCAACTGTAGGCCACTTCGTGTTCTTCTAGTTCCCAGAACTCCATTCCTGGGCCACATTTTGAATGCTGAGGCAGGCTGATGCTGCGGCCGAGGCAGGCTGAGGCTGAGGCAGGCTGAGGCTGAGGCCGAGGCTGAAGGCAGACTGAGGCTGAGGCTGAAGCGGAGAGGCTGAGGCTGAGGCTGAGGCAGGCTGATGCTGAGGCAGGCTGAGGCTGAGGCTGAGGCTGATGCAGGCTGAGGCTGAGGCAGGCTGAGGCTGAGGCCGAGGCTGAAGGCAGACTGAGGCTGAGGCTGAGCAGGCTGAGGCTGAGGCTGAGGCAGGCTGAGGCTGAGGCAGGCTGAGGCTGAGGCTGAGGCAGGCTGAGGCTGAGGCTGTGACTGCGACTGCCGTTGCCACTGCGACTGTCATCGCGAATGCGACTACGACTGCGAGAACAGCAGAATTCTACAACTGGATTCTCATCTGAATCTTAAGGGGAATGCTTCCAGATATGCTCCTACACATCGCTGTTAGGTTGCTTTGCCGGGATAATTTTCAATGCGGGGTCCCCGGAAGTCTCGACCCATTCCCCAGGACCGGTTTTTCATTCTGAGTCGTCTTTTGACGGCCCCGAGGCCCGGCGAGGGCCCCTAGGGGCCGAAATTTGAGAAAAACCTCCGTTTTGATTTTTTCAATGCGTTGGATCTCTGGGGAAGAGCCGCCCGTCGTGATTTTTCTCACGGCGCGAGGAGGCCCGGGGAGGGCTCGATACCCCTCCCGCGGGGGCCCCTGCCCAGGCGGAGGAGCACACGGAGATGCCCGGCGACCTGGGCGTGCCCCTCCCGCTGCACAGGCCCCCCCTCTGCCGCGCAGCACCCCTCTCTTTTTGTCGTCCTGGGTGGCCCAGAAGGGGGGTCCAGCGGCAAGGGGGTGGTGCAATAGATTTGGGGCAACTGTATTGCAAATGCATCGCGCCAGAGAGTTGTACTGCAGTGTACCGCAAGTAATGTATGGCGCGTGAGAATCCAGCAATACATCTGCAACCCGGAAGGAATTGCACGCCCCCAGTGTATTGCAACCCCACAAATCTAGTGCACCAAATCCATCGCACCACCCTCTTGTCGCTGGACCGCCTTTTGGGTCAACCCGATCCACTCCCGATGGCCACGGGGCCCGCACACGGCCCCCGGCGGCCGACACCGAAGAAAGACCTCTGGCCTCGAATCCCAGACCCCTGAAACGTCGCGATTTTTCCGCAGCGTCGACCCTTCCCCGGGACCGGTTTTCGTCCTGAATCTTTGTGTTGCTTGCCCCAGGGCCCGGGAAGGGCCCCCAGAGGCTGGAAAGAGCGCAAAACCTCCCGTCGTGATCTTTATCGTTGCAAGGCGAGGGGCTCTGGGATCCTCGGAGATCTGGGCTGCACGGTTTCCCCTGGGGCCGTAGGCGGTCCTATAGGAGGAGGAGGAGGAGGAGGAGGAGGAGGAGGAGGAGGAGGAGAGAGAGGAGGAGAGAGGAGGAGGAGGAGGAGGAGGAGAGAGGAGGAGGAGCGAGGAGGAGCGAGGAGGAGCGAGGGAGGAGGAGGAGGAGGAGCGAGGAGGAGGAGGAGGAGGAGTGAGGAGAGGAGGAGGAGGAGGAGGAGGAGGAGGAGGAGGAGGAGGAGCGAGGGCGAGGAGCGAGGAGCGAGGAGGAGCGAGGAGGAGGAGGACTGGTCGCCTAATCCCTTCGGAGAAACCCCCCAATCTGGGCCGCCCCCTCGCGCCCGGCGTCCTGCCCACGTGCCCCTGCGTGAAGGAGGTCGCGCCGGTGCGCGGCGGCGCCGGCGGCCCCTCGCCCAGGAGCGTCGCGAAGGCGCCGCCCCCGTCGCCGGCGGGCGCCGGGAGCTCCCGCTCGAGGGCGTCCGCGCCGGGCCCCCGCCGGGGTTCCCGCTCGCCTGCGCGTGGCCCCCAGGCATCGGGCGTCTCTCGAACAAATCGGGGCAGGGGTTTTCCATAGTTTTTGGCCTCTCGGGGCACTCGCTGGGCCTCGGGACCGTCCAAACACGACTCGGGATGAAAAACCGGTCCCGGGGAAGTGGTCGGGAGGTCGGGGGCCCGCGTCTCGAAAAAATCGAAACGTCGGATGGCTGGGCCCCCAGACCCCCTCGCGCTGCGAGAAAGCCGCGGCGGGCGGTTTTTCTCGTGTGACTATTGCGTCCTGACAATCCTGAATCGCGCCAGGCCCCCATTCCTGGGACTACAGCCCTACGAACCCCTTTAAACTGCTTGCAGTTTTAAAATGAATGCGCGCGGCGCTACGACGAGGGCAACATTTTGAAAAGGAACCACCCTGCATCCTTGACACACGTGCTAACTTTTAGAGTCAATGCGCGCGGCGTTGAGGCGATTGCCACATTTTGAAAACAACCCGCCCTCGATCCTTGAAGCTGCTGCAACCGCTTAGAACGAATGTGCGAGTTGCTGAGGCGAGAGCTACATTTTGAACATCCGTCCTCCTCTCATGAATTTGTTGCGAAATTGTAGAACGAATGTGCCCCGCCCCAAGGCGAGAGCAACATGATGAGAACCACCCGCCGTTCATCTGCGCAAAAGTTGCTGCAAACTTTTAAAACGAATGTGCGCGGCGGCAGGGTGAGAACCACATTGTGAAAACCATCGGCCCTCCATCCGTGAAGCTGTTGCAGACTTGTAGAACGAATGTGCGCGGCGCTACGGAGATCTACGTTACGAAAAAACACGAGCCTCCATCATTGAACCTGCGGCAAACTTTGACAACGAATGCGCGCGGCGCTACGGCGAGAGCCACATGTTGATGATGAGCCGCCCAGCATCCTCGAATCTGCTGCAGCATTTGATAACGAATGCGCGCGGCGCTAAGGCGAATCGCATTTTGAATACCACCCACCCTCCATCCTTGAAGCTGCTGCCAAAAAAATGTTGGACGAATGCGCGCGACGCTAATGTGAGAGCCACATGTTGAACAGGAAGAGTCCTCCATCTTTCAAGCCGCTGCAAACGTTTAAAACTAATGTGCGCGGCGCTAAGCCACATGCTGAGAACCACCGGCCCTCTATCCTTGAAGCTGCTTGAAACAAAACACGGAATGTGCGCGGCGCTAAGGCGGGAACCGCATTTTCCTGAAGTGAATGCATTTATCCAGCTTCAGGAGCATACATGGTCGGCAAATCTCAGGCGAAACGCCTGGCCCGCCCATCCGACACGTCTGGGAGTGCGACAGGGAGGATGAAAGAGAAGGGGGGGGAGGAGGAGGAGGAGGAGGAGGAGGAGGAGGAGGAGGAGGAGGAGGAGGAGGAGGAGGAGGAGAAGGAGGAGGAGGAGGAGGAGAAGAGGAGGAGGAGGAGGCGGAGAAGGAGGAGGAGGAGGAGGACGACGACGAGGATGTTCGACCGCGAGAGATACCGCAGGACAGCCTTCGTGGCGAGATCACAGCCGCTGGAGAGCTGGTGCAGGATGAGAGCACAGAGGTACATGGGATCAGGAAGTGCACAAGGAATACGATGGAAGGGAGGGAGGGAGGAGGAGGATCACGAGAGGGAAGAGGAGCAGAAGAAGGAGAAGGGAGGAGGCGGAGGCGGCGGCGGAGCGTGGGCGAACAACAATCCGTCGATCGGCAGACGAAGGAGGAGGAGGAGGAGGGGGAGGAGGAGGAGGAGGAGGAGAAAGAGGAGGAGGAGGAGGAGGACGACGAAGGCGACGACGACAGCGAGGAGGAGGGGGCTGGCGGAGGAGGAGGAGGAGGAGGAGGAGGAGGAGGAGGAGGAGGAGGAGGAAAAGGAGGCTGGATCCCCTCTGGCTGACCCCCATGGGCCTGTGCGGGCGGACATGGAGGCGGCCGGCAGCGTCTCGCGCTCCCCGGGCGACCGGAGGGCCCGCTGGGGCAGTGGCGCCGTGGAGGGCCCCGTCGAGGAGCCTGAGGGGCAACAAGACTTCGGGGAGGACTGGCACAGGGGGAAACAACCGGGGACAGAAAAGGTGGCATAATCATGAAAACCCGGAGGTCCGCGCGGATT